GTTACTATTGTAATTAAAAATGTATTCATAAAATCATGAAGAAAACAAAAGTAACATTTATGTGCTTCTGGAAACAGCTACTTCATATGTAAATAAGGATCCGTGATAGCTCGCTTTGCTAATCTGAATCAGAAGTGAACTTTTCATTCATTGAACCAATTGTTTACCTCTTGATACTTCAACGAATGAAAATGGAATTCATGTTTTAATTTGGAAGAGATGTGGTATGTTCTTTACCTTCCTGTTTCTGCCTGGTGCCAGTTTTGATGTTGAGCATTCACTGTGTGCGAAACAGTGCTGGCAATAATACAGCTAGTACTTTTCCCCTGGACAAGAGAAGGGGGCTGAACACTGGCCTTCAGAAGGGGATGAACAGCATACATGCCAGCAGCCCTTCCTGCTGCAGTAAACCTTCCTGTTAAGAGGTTGAACTGTTTCCATGGAAAGCCTATTGAAAAATAATGGTCACTTTTTTGCATTTGATACTAGATAATCTTGCCTAATTCTCCAGAGTTTTGTTCTTTCTTTCTTTAAGTTGGATAGAAAGCAGGTCTAGTTTATACTCTGGATGAGAGTAGTTTATTGGGACATGTAGGAGGATGCATAATGACCTGTGACAATTTGAACTAGGGTTTTAAACCCACCTGAAGTTCAGGGGTGAGGGAGAAAAACTCGAGTCATTTGGGGGCCAATGGAAGAGTCTATGGAATTAGATGGTATAGACCCAAAGTTGTGAGTAAAAATCCTTCTCTTAATACTTTTAGGTGTCCTGGGTTACATAATTGGGATGATTCACTTAATGGGGAAAAAATCCTCACCATTATACAAAAATACATCATCAAAAGCAGATAACTTGAGTAGGAATTATTTTCATTACAGACTAATTCAGCAGGGTTCCTTGAAAAAGCATCTCCCCTACTGCATTTAAGGGTGTTATTTACAGATGATTAGCTCTTTGGCTAGGAAGAGGTGCGATTTAAGTCTTAAAAAACAAAATCTAAGGCCATTTAAAGATCTATGGAGGATAAGAAGTGCACCAAAACAAAACTCCGGAGCTATCTTGGAAGTCAGTAGACACATAGGATTCAACATACCAAAGTGTCCTTTACACACACCTTTTTCAGGAGCACAGCTGTTCAACAGAAATAAGGAACACATACATTTTCAAGTTAAAAAATAAGAGTGTCCTACATGATTGCAGAGACGCATGGTAGCCTCAGCTTTGAGGGTAAGGGTAGGATTCCTAGAGAAAAAATTTTCACTTATCAGAGTGTAAAGACACATTGTGTGACTGAGCCCTGTGCAAATGGGACCTGTTGGGAGAACAATCCTGCATGATGAGTATAACTGGTGCGGGGGGTGGTGTGTGTACACAGGCGTTCATGCACAAATGACCCTTTATGTGCTGGCTGAACTGTTGCAGGAAATGGGGAATGGCTTTGTACTAGAATATACATCTAATCTGGAAGAGAAAAATCTAAATGAATGTTGCAGAGCCAGCAAACCACAAACAGCCTAGACCAAAAAGCCGCAAAGGGGAAAGGAAAATGCAGCAATGTATCTTAGGGATGTGCGGATAAACTTAACATTCAACACCAATGCACAGACTACAGACAGAAATAACCGAAAGCCCCTCTGGCTACCCAGCTGGTCTCAGAGTTGGTCACCATTACAAAATACTAATCGAGCTTGACAATCTGAATACCCTTGCTCAAGCGTCAGCATATGAAGATTCTTAATGTAAGAAACTAGGTTTTGTTTTGCTTTTTAATGGGGTAGTAAAATTAGCTATTTTCTTTAAAACTGCTCTATTAAAGAGCATTTCTTTTGTTTAATATTTTTGAAAAAAGTGCTACGAACCTAAGTTCTTGGGAATGGGGGGATAGATTAAAATATAACATGAAACAACAGAGTATGATGGGGCCATTAACATATTTTCATAAAGAGCACATGGCATGATAAGATGATATGTGTAGGTAATATGACTGATAAAATTTAGAAATGAAGGATGTTGGATACACATTGTAAGATTTCCATAGTTAAAAATTTTTACTTTAAAGGACAGTTACACACAGTGCAGTGAGATTGCCACTTTGTATTTTTAATACTAAAATCAACCCTTTACATTGGAGATCAGCACACTCCTTCTGTAAAGAGCCAGACTGTTAAAACATTAAGCTTTGCAGGCCACCTAGGTCTCTGCTGTTTTTGTTGCTTGGTTTTTACATTCCTTTAGAAAATCTAAAAACCATTCTTAGTTCATAAGCCTTGTAAAACAGGCCATGAGCTAGGGTTAGGTGACCCTTGCTTGAGATGGTTTCATTTTCTCTGTATGCTTCAGCTATTTTATAATGGAGAATGTGGGAAATATTTTCATGTGTGCTATGTGAGACGTATGCTTTCCCCTAGTCACTTTAGACTAGCTATGCCAGCCTGGCGCAGTGGCTCATGCCTGTAATCGCAGCACTTTGGGAGGCTGAGGTGGGCGGATCACGAGGTCAGGAGTTCGAGACCAGCTTGGTCAAGATGGTGAAACCCCGTCTCTATTAAAAGTACAAAAATTAGCCAGGTGCACTGGTGAGCGCCTGTGATCCCAGCTACTTAGGAGGCTGAGGTAGAATTGCTTAAACCCGGGAAGCGGAGTTGGCAGTGAGCCAAGATCACATCATTGCACTCTAGCCTGGGTGGCAGAGTGAGACTGCATCTCAAAAAAAAAACCAAAACAAAACAAAAACAGAACAGCTGTACCAATTCAAACTAGCACGCTTCTGGAGTTGATAGTTTTGTTCACTAGTGTAAAGAAAACGGATACCTAGATATGTCATACAATATAGAGCCATACTGTGCAATATGGTAACCATTAGCCCTGTGTTGGTTGGTTAATGTAACATAAAATGAGATAAAAATCTGTGCCTCAGTCACATCAGCACTGTGCTGGGTAGCATAAAGATTTTTATCCCAGACACTTCTACAGGACAGCAGTGTTAGAGAACAAAAATAATTAATATTCTAGGACCCAACCCTATGGTACATTTTGGTACAGCAACTCTCCTTGAGAAAATATTTATAGAGAAGAAGGTAAGCCAGGTACATGGAGCAGTGATCAGATTTAGTCAAATAGACTCAGACAGGCAGCTGAAGGATGAATAATTTTCCCAGGTTCAGAAGACCCATCTACCATATACTGGCTCCGCGATCCTGGGCAAATTAATCCACTTCTGAGTGCCCTCTATGTCCTCAGCTGTAAAGCAAACATGGTGATACCTACCTGGTGCAGGTTTTGAGAGGAATACACAAGTCTGGACATGTGAAAATGTGTAGTAGCAATACAATTTCAGGAGATACTTGGATACACATCTACATTGGCCTGAAGGGGGCTGTAGTTGTCACAAATTCAGAAACAACCACGTCTTGCCAGTGTGGTTAGATTTGGGCTTCTTGGGAGGCACAGAAAAATATCTTAGCACTTAATTAACGCCACAACTGCTACTGAAGATTATACTCTGGGTCAGGTGTGGTGGCTCATGCCTGTAATCCCAGCACTTTGGGAGGTTGAGGTAGGTGGATGACCTGAGGTCAGGAGTAGGAGAACAACCTGGCCAACACGGGGAAACCCCATCTCTTCTAAAAACAGCACCAGTGGACGTGGTGGTACACGCCCGTAATCCCCGCTGCTTGGGAGGCTGAGACGTGAGAACTGCTTGAACCTAGAGGACAGAGGTGGCCGTGAGCTGAGATCACACCACTACACTCCGGCCTGGGTAACAGAGTGAGGCTTAGTTTCGAAAACAACTCTAACAGGGAAAAATAACTGACCGTTGGACCTCCTCAAGACCTCAGACCCTCGGGTGTGTCATATTATATTTTGGTTCCCTGTGACCACTGGTCACCTTTGCCCTCACGGTGAGGAGGCTGGTTTTCCTCAGCTTCCCAATTTAGGAAATAAAGATGCTGGGTTTTGGCAGGAAGGTGAGGATTCTCCTGTGTCTCTTATCTCTGGAGCCTGGTATCCCTGTTCTCTTTCTCACCCCTGCCTTTTACAACTAGTCTAAGAAGCAGCCCCCACCCCCACTCCAGGGCCCCCAGACTCATTTTTGAACACCGACCCTAAAGACAGCTCATTCAGCAGTTATGGAACTATCACAGAATTTAGGTGCTTTGTGAAAAATAGATGATAAAGTCTCAGCTGTGGCTGGGAGACTCTTTAAGCAGGGACATACCCTCTGGGAGAACATAGTCGAATCGGTGGCAGCTTTAATTCTTCTACCTGCTCTGGGAATTGGGGTGAGGGTAGGGCATTCTTCACCCCAGAGCATCCACCCCAGGCAAAGACGTTTGGTTCTGCCGTATCAGCGTGGTGATCTACATCCTGTATTTATTTTTTGGTCTCTTCCCTCCAGCACTTGACGGCTATACTGACATATGTTTAAATGCCCCAACTTTTTGAAAGACGACTCTTTATTGCTACTCTCTCTGCACTGCATTAAATGAGGGGGGAACCACCTTTCTCTCTGCTTCTCTTCATTGAAATCACATAGCAAAGGACAGAACAGCCTTGCAAACAAGCAACAAGCTGCAGGCTAGTAGTATGATCAGGAGACAACCATGTACAGGAGTCCTGGTCACCCATCTTCTGCTAGGCGAGGGTGCCTTCTGGGTGGCCTGCATATGCTAGTAAACTATTTTGATAGGAATTTGCAAAGCTATGATAAAAGGCAGGCAATGAGCTAAAGCTTCCCACCCTCCCATGCCCCTCCCTGCCAGCCCCACGCCCACATCCCAACCACTGCACCCAAATCCTGACGGATCTAACAAAGAACGGCCAGGACATCTGGGAAGTGGCAGGGGAGACAGAGACATGCTTATGAAAAATAACTTCACCTCAGAGACACCCACAAGAGAGGGTGGGGCGGAGGGAGGGAGAACTTACATGGTAAGGAAGGTGATTGGACTCAGATTTATGTCACAAAACAAAAAGAGAGCCACGACAGTGGGCTTACTTGCGGAAGTATATACAAGTGAACTGGGGGCACTGTACATGGAAGATCCCTCCTGGTTGGCCTGGCACAACAGGACCGTGCCTACGAAAGAGAGAGAGAGATGGTATCTGGTTTGGGAATTGGCACACTACACCTGAGAGATCACGGCAATGCAACTGAGAAATGAAAACACAGCCACATCCCAGAGCGCAGGACAAGGGCCCCGAACGCAGCCCCCTGCCTTAGCCAAAGGGACTCGGTGGAAGCCCCCCCCCCCCAACCCAGCCCACCAAGCACATGTCACATGTCATGACTTTTCACATGGGGTTGTGTAGCGGGGTCTGGCTGCCCCAGGACCCACGTTCGGATCAGGCATGGAAGCAGTGCGGCATACTGAAAAGGGAACTTTAGGACGATTGGAGGGGACTAGACAGCAAGCCTGACTCTGACACCTCTTCGCTGTGTGATCCTGGCAAGTCACTGTACCTCTCTGTGCCTCAGCATTTCCACCTGGAAAACAGGGGTAAATATACCTACCTCCAGGAAGGGCTGTGCATCGTATGACTGGAGATGTACCCAAGTTAGGGGTTGGCCGTGTAATAATTAATAGTAAGCATACCTGTTGGTAGGCTTAGAGAAAACTTGACCTGCCCTCAAACATCAGTCTTTCTGATTCGGTTCTTCAGAGGAAGAACAGAAGGTAGAGAAGAAATAAATGCCAATATTTTGCCATGCCTGGGACCCACCCTGGACCCACACTGGACAGTGGGTAAGAGGATCTTCGGCTCCTGCATTCCGACTTTCTTCCCTGAAGCTCTCTGCCTTCCAGCCAGAGAGGCTGCCGAACTCATCAAACCTTGGCTGCATTGCAGCAATGACTTGCTGCCTCCTGACTTAAAGCAGAGGGCACTGGGTTTATCCTTGCACGATGGAATTTTACAGCGGCAAATAACAGTGGAATCCTGAGATACCTCCTCAATCTAGGACAGGTTTTGAACAACCACCCACTCCAGGGATGACCGGGGTCAGGAATTGTCAGCCTATCAAGTCTACTTTCCTGCTACTGTAAAACTCAAACTCCAAGGCTTTGAAAAGAATTAGAATTTTGAGGAGTGGTAAGGCCATTAGTGGTGACGGAAATACCTCCCTGTGGTTTCTGGTCACTTCCATGGCTGGGTAAGGTCAACCACTCCCATTTGATTGGAACTTCCCTGTCAAGACCACCATGGAAAAGCAGTCTCCCACGATAAGAAGCCAACTGTCCAAGTGCACCCCCAGAACAGAGAACTTTTCTATATCTTTGGAGACTTGCTCAATGGAATGGTTCTATGATCTTTCTGTATCTTCCCTGTGATAAACAAAAACGGAGTGAAAACTATCAAAGTGTGGGGGGTCCTGCCACACAGAGGGACAGGAAACCAGTTACAATTCGAAAGGTGTTTTCTCCCGACCTGCATCCAACCATCCATCAGGGACCTAGTCAGAACTGATGGATCACATGGGGAGGTCTGAAAAGCCTTCCCCAAATTCTACTTCTACCCTCTTTTGTTTGTGCCTCTCTAGATTTTGTACCCTCACTTCCAGGTAACGCAAAGATTTTTAAAATTCCTAATCCATCTCACTCTTTCCCCTATTATCAGTCTGACGACTCCATTTACTCTTTTCCAAGGAGAAGCAGCCCAGGGACAATTCTGCCTGAAGGAATGTCCTGTGGTCCTTTTTGATCTCGTTTCCCATGCTTACAGCTGCAGAAGAACCATCCTCCACACCCCCCCAAAATAGCCCTTGACACAAGGGTGAAATTAACCTTCTCTTTGTGGTAAATTTATCAAGAGTCTGGAGGGATGTCAGTCGTGATCCACCTATGCTAAACTTGTAATTCTTTCTTCTCCTGTAAAAACAGTTTATCACCCAGGGATGGCAGCTCATGTCTGTCATCCCAGCACTTTGGGAGGTCGAGGCGGGTGGATCACCTGAGATCAGGGGTGTTCAAAACCAGCCTGGCCAACATGATGAAATCCTGTCTCTACTAAAAATACAAAAAATAGCTGGCCGTGGTGGCAGGCACCTGTAATTCCAGCTACTTGGGAGGCTGAAGCAGGAGAATCACTTGAACCCAGGTGGCAGAGGTTGCAGTGAGCCAAGATGGTGCCGTTGTACTCCATCCTGGGTGACGAGCAAAATTTGATCTCAAAAAACAAAATTATTACAATATATTGGATGAGTTTCTTTACATGATCTTACCTCTCCTCGGGTATTTCCAGTTTTAGCAGGTCACTGGGGATTAATATCAAACAAAACTCCAAAGAATGGAGGTCGGGGTATAAGACCCAACAAGAAGAAATGCAAACTACCCACCAGGAAAGACATTTAGCCCCCTCTACAATCAGTGCTCTTTATCAGTGAGTCCTCCTCTGTGACTCTGCAGTGGTTATCCCTGTGTTTGTGCTCACTGCTAGAAATCTTAGAAAGACAGGAATGTTTCTCTAGAATATACAGAGAATTACAGATCAGAATCATCTAGGATAGGATCGTAGCAGGTTGATTTAGGTAAAGTTCCTCAACCTTCTCTCCTGTGCACACCTGGTTTAAAAAAAAAAAACAAAACACTTTTACAGTCGGATCCGAAGTTTCTTGGGGTGCCTAAATTTCAAAAGAAAAATCTTTAACTGTAACTGAAATATACACAGAAGGACATTTCAGTATTCTCTGGTTAAAACCCTTGGGTCAATTTTCAATATCCACGATGCAATTTATATAATTCCATGGGGACACAGTACAGATTTTTGCCTGGAAAGCTAACCTCTGGCAGGGCATAATGAAGCATTCCTCATTTTTCTTATGCTGTGGATTCTGAGAACCTGGACTGAAACAGACTGAAGTAACTTCTTTGGATACTTTCTTAGTAGTAAAAAAAAAAAAAAAAAATCTTTATGCAGTGATTTTGACCTTTGTAAAACAAAATCTGTGCCTTCACAGAACTTGGTTTTTGTTTAATCTAAAAACATCCTCCAATTTAATTTGCAAAGTACTTACTGTATGTTCCCTTAGTGCTTTGTGACCTTTCCTTAAAAGGAGGCTTTGATTTTGACAAAACGAACGCGGCAGAGAACACTGAAACCTCCATGCATTTTTTGGGGGGCGGGGGCAGGGAAGGGTAAGTGTATTTGTTTTTGTTTTTTGTTTTTGTTTTTGTTTTTTTTAAATAAGCCAAATAGGCAATAGGATACAAGCAGCAGTATGAAGAGTGCTTACAAGGGCATTCAAAGCACTTCCCAGTATAGCCTCAACATAGCTCTTCAGAGTCTCCTGAGCTGGATCCTCTATCTGTCTCTAGACTCCAGCATAAACTTTCTACTCCCAAATGCCATGAACTGTCATCTGAATGATATAGTGACATCTTGTACTTCTCAGACTTCTGTGCTTTTACTTAACAAACTCCTTATAATTTAAGTATGGCAACTAGGGTCAATTTATGCCACAAGCTGCCCATTCTTGAGCCAGAATGGAATTACCAGTTTCAATACTATCCTTTCCTGTTGGCCTAGAGCCCTCACAGTCATTGTCAACACAGCCAGTAGGCAGTGATTTCCATTTGCTCAGAGTTGGTAAAGGGGATGAACCCTCCATGCCATTCCTGCTCTTAGTGTTAAGATAAACCATTTGAATTTTCTTTTTCTTTTCTTTTTTTTTTTTTTTTGCCAAATAGAATTGAGTGTTTCCAAGTTCGTGTGGTTCAACTTAAAAAAAAAAAGGGGGGGTTTCCCCTGCTCTCCTCCTACACAGTTTAAAAGTGACCTCCTCTCTCCCTGGTCCTCAGGGGTGAATTACTTACTGCCTATTCTATGCTCTTATCTTCTGTTTTTTTAAAGCTTCCTAATAGATCCTTCATGGTGCTGTGTTACAATTTTCTATTTACATATTGATCATCTGAACTACCAAATCCACCTGGGGTAGAGCCAAAGCATAGTCATCTTTTTATCCCCAGCGCCTAGCAAAATACCTGTCTTCAGAAGGATTAATGTATATGATTGGATCATAATACGTTTTCTAAAAAGAACTCTCCACTTCTTTTTTCTTGGCTAAAAAATAGTGTTCTTTTCCTTTTTTTTACAACCACTATTTCTTCTGCCTGTGGTTCATGGCAGGAAATTTGCTCGCCCAAGATTCGAATAGATAAACAAGCGATGTCTAACTTCTGTAGATTGAAATAGCTTTCATGTAATTGAAGTGTTATCCCGTCTTTCTTGATTCTTTTAGAGTCGGCTCATCCAGTCTAACAGGAAACCTGGGCAGCCTGGTGAACCACTTCCTGAACTGTCGATGACTGTATCAGCACCTGGCAGACACTAGCTCCATGGGACAGACCTCAACCTCAGAATAATGCCAGCCCGTTCCAAAGCCTGTCGCACTCGTCCGCTCCGAGTGCTGGCATCCCCAAGTCCTGGCAACATGTCCCCCAGCCAGTCTCAGCAGGATTTGGAATCCTCCAGTGAGGAAAAGGGGTAAGCCAGGGTCAAGGTCTCAGCGGGGGCATCGAAACCCTTTCTGCTCAGCCAGCATCTTCCTGCAGTGAGTAGTGGATCACTCTTGGCCCCTGAAGGAGCAGGGACAAGCCTAGAAGGGATGTTTCCCATGAGAGACAGGGAGGAGGAAGTGTTGAAATGTGCTTACTCTGCTGCCAAGCCCTAAGTGAGGAAAACTGGACTCAAACCGAAACAGCAGTGCAGTTTCAGACCCCCATGCCTTTGTCTTTTCCCAGTAAATCTTTTCCTTGCTGTAGATAGCTCCTTTCTGAACTGAGCTCTAGCGTCATCTAGAAATCCTATAAATCCTATCTATGTGCCTTTGTATGGTAGAGTTCAGCTTCCTTTCTTTGCTTTTTTTTTTTTTTTTTTTGAGACAGAGTTTCACTCTTGTTACCCAGGCTGGAGTGCAATGGCGCCATCTCGGCTCACCGCAACCTCCGCCTCCCGGGTTCAGGCAATTCTCCTGCCCCAGCCTCCTGAGTAGCTGGGATTACAGGCACGCGCCACCGTGCCCAGCTAATTTTTTGTCTTTTTAGTAGAGACGGGGTTTCACCATGTTGACCAGGATGGTCT